CCAGCCAGAATGTCTCTTTCTCCTGCAGAAATTTGTAACTTAATATTCTAGTCAAGTGCCAACCATGGGAAACACAGGTTTAAGTTAACTACTATTTTTAAAAATTAATATATTTTTATTCTTCAAAACACATGCTTCTCAGTTTTTAAGACACTAGTATTTGAGTCAATATATCATCAAATGAATGTAATAAATTATAGTGCTATAAACTCCAGGGAAATTTTATTAATGTTTCTAAAGTATCCTCATGTGGAATCAACATATGTTTTTTATATATTCACAAATTTATGGCTTCAAAAATCTTCAGTTTCAGGGTGTTACGAATGTTGTCATGGATAGAAAATACATAATTGTGAAATGATGTTCTTGAATTTTCACATACTCCTGATAACCATTAGCTCTTGCATATAATAATTAGAATGAAATTAAAAACTTGAAAGTAATATTTCTGTAGCTGAGTTGCTTTGAGCCAAAGGAATCATTTCCAGAATAAGCTGGCAGGTTCTTGCTTGGCGAATTAGGACTCTAGTGTCCTTAACCTTAAAATAACTTGCATTTCATTTTATGCCTGTTTCATAAAGTGGTCATTCATTTTCATACTAAATTGTAACCAAAGCATGCCACATCAATAGAGGCCAGTCAGTGGGTTTAGTGCGTTGTTAGGTTGGACAAAGTGAAGCAGAATGATGAAAATCTCGGCCAGATGGTTGGGTTAAAAAACCTTCCTACTGGCTTGTTAAGGGAATTGAGAGAGAATCTCCCCCATCTTTATATCCACCTCCTGGTACCTAGTAGGTTCACCATCAGAGCTTCTTGGAGAAGCAATGAGTCCAAATGATACTTTATATTTTTGAGCATTCATGAAATAAAATGTTCTGTTTTCCGTATAACTTTGCTGCAGCTGTAGTGGAATTTGAAATGCAGATATACTTACATTTTCGGTTTAGATTTTCAGGCTCAACACTCAAGATGCAAGTTACTGCCTCCTGGATACGAGGCTTGCCATTAGGACACAGCAGATGGCAGTGGGGTGTAGACCCCGACTATATGGTCTACACAGCAGGCCTGAAACACAACCATAAGCTTCCTTCGACTGATATGTTCTTTCCTTTTTAGTTTAAATTTTTTTTTTACAAAAATAGTTTTATTTCTTATTTAAATAGCAAAAATGAAACGATTACTAAAAATGCATCTGAAAAATTATTTCTGAAGTTTGAAGACACTTTTACAGAAAATGTCATTCTTTGTAAGTTTCAAGAGTTTTCGTATTCCAGTATTTAGATCAATTCAAATACTTTTTTAAACTGTGTCTCTGTAATTTGCCTGCCCCCTTGAAATTAAAACCAAAGCTTTTTAGGTTTATAAGTCAGAATGATACAAAAAGCTTTCGGTTATCGCTTCCCTAATCTATTACCTGCTTTCCTCAATTGGGGCTTTTCCAAAATAAGCAGAGTATTTTAAATTACCCTTTCCCTTTTTCTGTGATTTATTTTCTTCTTTTATCCACACATATAAAGCACAATGAAATAAGTCATGTAAGTAAATGGCCTTATCTGCTGGCGTAGCTGTTGTTTCCCAGGAGGGTGGAATCTTTTCCCTTTCAGCGAGAGAGACTTCTTCACCCTAATATGCTTTTCCCACCAGCCTCCCAGTTTGGTGCTTCTTGAATGCTTAAAATTTGATGTAGCCTCATGAAGAGTTTAATATTAAATTTCGAAGTCGTGTACCTCTGACAAGTGACAAAGATGGAAATAGTGTTACAAAATACTAAGACTGGGTCAACCCATTGCAGTAATCTGGGAAGATGTTCTAATCCTCAAGTCGAGAGAATTATATTAAAAAGGGCAACTAATTGAACACCTTGTCTGTTTTCAAGTTCAGAAATTTAACTACCATTCAGGTAGTGCTTTTGGAGGCAGCTCTAATGCTGTTCTTTTCACTCCAAAACTTCTTTCTCCCACGTGCCTTCTAAATCCCATTGGGATTGCACCTCCCAGAAAACAAAGAGATGAGGAGACTAGGGCTACGCTGCAGTTGGCACAAAGAGCGAGGTTAGGGTGGGATGAGATGTAAATGGAGAAGGCTGAGTTTGAGAAGGATTGCAAAGAAAGAAAAGGGGAAAAGCAGTCTCAAAAAATATGTCAGACAATAAAAAACACAATAATCATTACGTAAAAAGAAACTCAGTCATGTGGAGGCGTAACTGTAGGAGATTTCTTGGAAGCGTAAGAGAAGCTCAAAGAAATGAGATGTATATAAGAGAACATCATAGATAGATCAATAGGGAAATAATAGGAGCAGAGAGAGGGAACCCTAACTTAAGAATTACAGGCGTTCTTGGAACAAGAGCGGTAATCAAAATCATAATCTGAGAATAATCTGCAGCACTGCAAATAAAAACCTTAAGTATTCCAATCAAAAGAGCTCACCATTTTTGGTCAAAATCAGTAAAAGTAAACACACAACTGGATATATTTTGACTACAATTTTTACTTCAAATACTAACAAAACAAAACGAAAAAGTCTAAGCTTCCAGACATGTACAAAAGAATGAAAATCAGACTTCTCCTCTGCAAGTCTAAGTGTCAAAAGTCAATGAAGCGTGCCCACAGTTTTGCGGAAAAAGCATCGTGGAAACAGCAATGTATCTTGCTGCATTGCCTTTCCTATGTGAAGCACAAAGGTGAATAATATGCCATCCATATACTCTTCTTAGAAAAACAGCCAATCAAGTAATACTTACCCACCAGGAGTTAAAAACTCATACATGGAAAAGTCATATTATGAAAGGACTGGCATTTGTTATCCACTTCTAGAGACGTATTCCAGATATGAACAAAAATGAAAGTATAGAGATGTTTAGCAAAGCTTTGTTATATTATATAAAAAGCAGCAGACTCAGCAACCCCACTTAGTTTTTACCCAAGAGAAATAAAAAGCTACGTTCACACAAAACCTATATGTGAATGTTTACGGCAGTTTAGTTCATAATTGCCCCAAACTGGAAACAACCCAAATATCTAGCTGGTGAGCGGATAAACAGACTGTTGGTCATAGATACAATGGAATACTACTCAGCAATTAAAGAGGAGAAAACTACTGACACGTGCAACAACACGGATGAGTTTCAGATGTATCATGTTAAGGGAAAGAAGTCAGTCTCAAAAAGCTACAAGCTGTATGATTCCATTTATATGACATTCTGGAAAAGGCAAAATTAATAGGACAGAAGACAAATCAGTGGTTGCCAGTGGCTGAGGGTGGGGAGAAGTTGACTACAAGGGGGTAACATAGGGGCATTTATGGGGTATGCAACTGTTCCATATATTGATTGTGGTCGTGCTTACACAACTGTATGGGTTTGTAAAAACTCATAAAATTATACATGCCCAAAAAGTGAATTTTACTGTATGTAAGTTTTAAAAGTAGGTAAAGAGAGGAGGCAGCATAAATAGCCACAAAAGGTAATGTCTGTGCAACCACGTGCATATGCTTGCAATATTGAATAGTATATTTAAAAATTATTAAGGTGGTAAATTTTATGTTATGTCTATTTTACCGCAATTTAAAAATATTTTAAATACAAAACTACAAGAAATATAATGTCTGTATAATGGGCTGTTATGTAGTCATTAAAACAGTTTTTCCAGGAATTATTAATAAAATGGGAAAATCCTTGTTATGTTAGATTAAAACAAATACAAAGTTGAATTAGCAGTATGATTTTACATCTGTAAATAGGTCATGGCAGAAACACTGGAAGATTAAATGCCAAAAAATTAAGAGTAAAGATCTTGGTGACGGGGTTTTGAATGATTCATTTTCCTCCTCTATACTTCTTGTCACGTTATTAGTTTTCACTTACTCCTTTTGTAATCAGTAAAAATAGAATCATTAGAAAGTATGTGCAATGAGTTATATATTTCTGAAATAGACTCTATTAATCATTTCATATAGGTTCATATTTAAATCATGCCAGCAAAAGAATGATCTCTTCAGGTCCACTTCTTAAAAATTTCTGTTTTTGTAGGACTAAATATTTTAAAACAGTCAAAATAGTATCGACTGACTTTTACTTCAAGGTGATGAGTTAAGCCTCTGTTTAGCTTTCCTCGCTCCCAATTTGCCATTGAATTGGCCAGGGAGACATAAAAGGTAAAAATATGTAACTCCATTGAAAAATTGGGAAACGTACCGTTAATAGATCAGATATCTTTAAGGAATTTATGTAAAATATAGAGCACTGGGCACTGCTTGAGGGACGTACCTACTGGATGGAATTCCAAACATCCAAAGGGAACATCTGCCTGGAAAATGAGTGGCAGGGTCCCAGAGCAAGCGGCTGGAGGGGAGGAAAAGGTATGGGTGGACATCCTTCCAGGATTCTCAAATTTATGACTTCAGACTCTTCCAGTACCGGTACCCCAAGAAAGCCACTCCAGCGCTATTTTGTAGCATCCATTTAGTAAAGCCAATGGTCGAAATAAAAAATAGAAGCATTGCCCCAAGCAAATTTCTAACAGAGACAGTTGTATCCATTGGAGAAGGACATGGGGTGCCCTGCTGATTTGGGTTACCTCAGTCAGGGAGAAGAGAAGGTCCCCCACAGGGAGCAGCTACACAAATGCTTCTGCCTGTAGCTTTCCCTTCTTCCTCATAGAAGAAAATACACACATGCACACATTATACACACACACACACACACACGTGCATGCATACATACTCACACATTATATATTAATTTCACTGGTTATATGGACCCCCAGGGCGAAAGCTGTGTGTAAGTAATATTATTACATTAATTCAAGTGAAGAATTAACTCCCTATTTAGAGTGACACTTCCACGGCACTTTTCGGCCTCCTGTTATTTCTTAGAATTTAAACTTTGAATCTTTGAGGTAATGTGCACTAATAAAAATTTTACCACTGCCTTATTTTGGCTTTTTTTTTTTTTGCTGTCTACCACTTTTATGAAATCATTATTTTCCTTTTTCCCTTAGGAATTGTGAAGGGCAGAACATTCGATATAAGACATGCAGCAATCATGTAAGTTCTGTAATAAAAATTATGCAATCCAATAAAATATGTTCATGTTTTAAGTTATAATGTTATAATGTGTACGGTAAAGCCTCTTTGTCCCCTTGGTGGAAAATTTGAATATCTGTTTAATTGACCACAGGTTTTGTATATCTCAGACCTTCCATTTATACTACCTTCTTAGGCCATTTCACACTTGTGATCTAATTTGGTAAGTATTTAATAATTTCTGAATTCATAGGAACAGGACCTAATACCTGTAAATGCCTTCAGAGTTCAAAGCACTTTAATGTGCGCGATCTCCCGTGACCCTCGCTGTTTTGCGGAGATGTGGGCACACGAGGTGTGGTGACGGTGACGTATCTTTTGCAAATGAGGGACTAGGGCTGAGGGAGGTGAAATTGTTTCCAGAAGCCGCCTAGGAGGAGCACAGATTGAACTGGTCTAGTGCTGTTTCTCCTGCTCCAAACCACCGGTCCTGCCCACTGCAGGATGAGTTCAGGAGCATGTGGGTGACTCAAGAAAATCACACATAAGGAAGGATTATAAACCAACACTGAAAAACAAAATGCAAATATTTTGCTTTACAAATTGGAAATGCAAAATAAATATCAGAAAGAAGCAGTCCTATTTTCCACGCAAAACATTTCTCTCTGAGTGATATGTACCCAAATCAAAATGACAGGAATTAAAAGGGAATTCTGAGAATGTGACATCTAAGAGAGATTTAGTTTTTAATTTTTTTATGTCCGCTTTTCTCAATTGGCTGTAACTAGTTTACATTAAAATTTCACTTCCTGAGGCTTTGTCCCCCTCTCCTCCTTCTGTGTCCTGGGCTGGAGGGAGACCGCAGTCCTGGGCAAGCGTTTCTGTTCTGCAGACCCAGACTTTCCTCAGTGGGCAGCCCCAAGCTCTAGACTGGGGTGGAGCAGGCAGTGGTCGCAAGGCCTTGTGCCTGCACAGCTCAAGCCATGTTTTTCGTCTATTTTAATCAGCTTTGAAGTAGAAATGTTTATCTTTATCTCTGAAACTTAGGTGGGAAAAATGGTGGCTTATTTATTGGGCACTCAAACTCCAGTGTCACTCAGCCCCGAGGTAGCTAGACCTGTGTCCACCATGTCCTGGGAGAGGCTCACATGTCCCATGACAGCATGGAAGTCAGAGGGCTAGAGAGACATACGTGTGCATGAGGGCTCCATGTGGTGAGCTGGAAGGCCAGGTGGGGGATGAAGGAGGAAGAGAGATTGACCTGAGCCCAGGCAAAGGCAGGCCTTTAGGTACAGATATAGTCTAGCATTCCTGCTTAAACAAGCGCATGAATGCGTTAGCAGCCTGAGGGTTTTATCCATGAGACTTTTCCATCTACTATCTTTTGCCTGAGTGCATTGCTTTTTAAATTTTTTTTTTATCATTGCTGCTGTAACAAATTACTGTGAACTTAGTGGCTTAAAACAACACAGATTTATTGGGGCCGGCCTGATGGTGTAGTGGTTAAGTTTGTGCTTTCTGCTTTGGTGGCCTGGAGTTCACTGGTTTGGATCCCGGGTGTGGACCTAAACAACACTCATCAAGCCGTGCTGTGGCGGTGTCCCACATACAAAATAGAGGAAGATTGGCAACAGAGGTTAGCTCAGGGCCAATCTTCCTCACACACACACACACACACACACACACACACAAAACACAAAAAAAATACACGTAAGTTTATTATCTTACACTTCTGGAAGTCAGAAGTCCAATAGGGGACTCATTGAGCTAAAATTAAGGGGTCAGCAGCACTGCATTCCTTCTGGACGCTTGAGGAAAGAATCTGTTTCCTTGTCTTTTCCCACTTCTAGAGGCTGCCCACATCCCTTGGCTCGTGTCCCCTTCTTCCATCTCCAAAGTTGGCAATATCACACCCCTCTGACCATTTTTCTGTGGTCATACCTTCCTGTGACCATCTGAGCAAGCTTTACCCACCTGGATAATCCGGGGTGATCTCCCCATTCTCAAGGTCCTTACCCTTAGTTAAAGGCTGCTTTGTGCAAAGTCCCTTTTGCCATGTAAGGTAAGATATTCACAGGTGCTAGGGGTTAGGTTGGGAGCATCTGTGGGGAGGGGGAGAGGGTGCATTATTCTGATTAGCACAGTGGGACAGCTTGTCTTCTCAGGAAAATTGGACTGGCCCATTCCTTCCAGTCCTTCAAGAATCAATTTCACAACAGTGTGCTATCCAGCAATACTCTGTGAAGCTCTCTAGGGGAATTCATTTTAAATTCCCAGATCAAGAGATTTCATTCTAGGGTTTCTATGTGTGTGTGTCACTCTGCTCTAGCTAATTCCAAAAAGGCATCTTTTTCAACACGGGTGTTATGGGGTTCTAGGAATATTGTCTACAGTGTAGAGTGTAGAGATGAAATGTAATATACCGAAAGTAGTGCATATTAGGTTAGGACTTTGGTGCATTTGAGTGAAGATCTGATGCCCCTGAGGCTCTGTGGGTCTTGGGAGGACCCGTGGTCTCTAACTGATGACCCCTCTGGGAGGATACTGTGGAAACCTCTAGGCTGTACCACCTCTAGGCTGGTGAGAAATGGATGCTCAGGGAGGGGGAGTTGGGGGGAGGACAGCAATGTAACTTTTGCCTTTTTCTAGTTCTCAGAGTTGGAGTGCTTAGAAAGATTTCATAAGAATATGGCATTAATTTCTATGCTTGCCATTGTAAACTCAGAGTTTCCAACCAAATTCCTTGTAGGGAAATAAGGGAGAGTTGTGGCAGGTCCTTCATAGCTCTGGTGTTCAGGGCACCCCTCCATCTCCGGGTGCCAAGCGTCTGCAGCTGGGCATTAGCCTTACTGCAGACCAGAGGTGGGTAAAGGCAGCCCCAGCTGCAGAGTTGCTGATCTGTAAGAAGTCTGCTCCTGTGCAGGAAAGATTGTGCAAATATATTCCTGGGACGATACCATAGACGTGTTGCAAGGAAGTCAAGTGCCGTAAGTGGTTGTAACCACAATGAACTCAGAGCGAAAATATGGCCACTTTTTCTTTTCATGTAATTACTTGAGCTGCTTCCTGCTTTATTAATTGGGGATTTAGAGTCATCCCCTTGAAATCTCCACCTCTCTGTCACCCAAGGTGGTCCAGAGGGCAGCAATGGGACTAGTCTGCAGCCCACCACAAGTAGAAAAAGCCCGCAGTTCTGATCAGATCACCCCTGGTGTTGCTTCTCACTGCCGTTCATGTGCTCACTGCAGATGGGCCGTGCTAGGTCAATAGTCAGCGGCTTCTCTCCTCCCTGAAATGGGGCCAGTTACCCACTCTTTTGAAGGAAGCTGTCTCTGTTGATTCCCAGATGAGGCACTTTTTTGAGGGAAACTTCCTCATCATTCAGAAATGCCCACATCTCTACTTGTGGGGGCCTGAGCGCCCCCTCTGATGGGTCTGCAAGATCTTCCATTCCCATGCAAGGGATGTCACCATCCACGGCCGGACTGTATCAGGAAGCCTGCTGTGTGAGAAGCAGAGGTCAGTGCCTGTGAGCCCCGGAGACCTGACATTCAGTTCTGTCCCAGAGATTGCTGATAACTCTATTCCTCCAGGGCCGTATCTGGAGGCCCCGGCTCCCAACCTCGGGACCATGCGGTTTGTTGTATGTGTGTCAGCTTCCTAACTCCTAACCAAAATCAATAATAATAATAATAGCGCGCACCTATTAAGTACTTCCTAAATGCTAGGCGTTGTTCTAAGCCTTTTCACGAATAAAAAATTTAACCCTCCTAATATCCCTACGAAGTAGGTGTTATTTTTATCCCCACCTTTACAGAGAAGGAAATTTAGGTAACCAGCTTTGTTAGATAGTGAAATGACACTACAGACAACAGCAACGACAATAAGGTCGCTTTTAACAACCCATGGGCGCGTGAACTGCAGAGGTAATCAGAGGGACTTTATAATTTCAGATACCGTTAGAGAGACTCCAGTCCCAGGAACGGTAGGAAAGACCTTCTGGATATTCAGTTGGCGAGAGACGAAGGGCAGGGAAGAGCAGGGAGGGAACTGAAGGAGAGGCACCTGAGGGTGGTCACAGCAATGGAGTCCCCCGGCCCAGGGCACATCCTCAGCACGGGGAGGACCTAGTTGAAGGAGAACAGACCCTGACAGCTGCATTTCTGACCTACCTCTGCCCACCTCAGCAGAGGACACCTGGGCAGGTGCTCAAGGAAAGAGTGAATGTTCTTTTGTTATGAAGCCTGGGTGTGAGAAGGACAAGCATTCGCATTCAGAGCCCATAGATGAAGAAATCCCACCCCTGGTGTCAGGAATCCATGCTTCACCGGGCAGGACCAGGAAATGAAGACGGCACTCCCTTCCCTGAGAAATCAGGCTGCGGGCCAGGGGCTCGCCCTGGGTTCATTCTGCCGGGGGGAGGTGGGGCTTTGGGCTGAAGGATCTGGAAGATTAGGGAATCAGAACACGCCAGCATGCAGTGCTGGGGCTCCCAGGTAACTGCTGGCCTCAGACATAACCCATCAGCAATCAGAATAGACCCTCACAGCCAGGGCCGGGCTCCTGGGGCCTCAGTAAGGAATTATCCTTATCAGGGGTATCAGAGCGAATGGAGAATTTCCAAGAGAACTCACGCATATCAGCAAGATGGGCTAATATTGAATTCACTGACTGCTCATATTTTTTTTATACCAGGGCTTATGGTATTAAAGGAAGTGCTGGAAGAGGGCAAAGGGGAAATATTTTTTAAATCAGTCTGTCATAATTTGGTAACCATATTTCGTAGCATGAACACGTTTTTGTATGAGCACAGGAGAAGGCATGGTTAATTCCGCACTGTGGGGTCCCTGGGCTGCCTGACAGCTTTCCAGAAGAGGTGACATTTGATGTGACCCATGAAAGATCCTTTATACTACAGATCCTATGAATGGCTAATTTCTGACAGTTTTCTTTTAGCGGTATTCTTTTCTTTCCATGGCCATTGCTCTGAATTTGCGCAGGAGCTACTTGCTCTCCTGTCTGTCTCCAGAACTTCAATCCATCCTGCCATCACACTGGTCCTAAAATGCCACCTTTTCTATGTCACTCCCTTCTGTGGATCCTTATTGCTTTTAATTCCCCTCATTTGCATTCAAGGACCTCCAGAAGCTGGTTAGATTGATCTCTTATTCAACTCACAACTTTCACCCTTGCTGGACAAGGCTGTGCCTCATAGATACTAAATTTGCTTCTGCTGTTTCTCTTTTGCTTATGTGGTTTCTCGTATCTTGTCCTGTTCACATCACACCATCCTTTAAATCGCATCTGAAATGTCTCTTTTCCACGATGCGTTGTTTGCTTACTCTAGCTTATAGTGACCACCTCCAGTAATTTATTTTTGTGCTAGAAATGTTGACATTCCTTACGTAAGAAGGTCATGAAATTTCACTCACACCACAACCTGCATATGAAGATAAAATAAAATGTTCAAATTTGCTTATGCAAAAATCGTATTTCTCCTGAGTCCCTACTCACTGGTTATCTGGGGGAAAATTAACTAAATATCTACTTCAAATTAAAGCTTGGTCCAATCCTATTGAATAAATTATCTCTTAGGTAATGGTCTGTGCCTCTTGCATAAAAATCCTTGGTTTATTAGATAGTCTGCCTGTCTTGGCTTCTCTCCCTGAGTTGTTCGTGAGGATGCTTTATGCATCTTCATGACCTTACGAGGGAAGGCAGAACTGGTCTTCAGGATGGTCCTTGAACGGCTGCTGGTTGTTATCTGCTGCCTCCCCTCCCCACCCCTGTTTTCCTTCATCTCCTCCTCCTTGTCCCCCTACTCCCATTCCTCTTTCTTCTTCTCCTTCTCCTTCTTTTCTATGCTTCCCAGGCCGGCTACCCTCTCCTGACTGAGTCAAGTTTTTCTGATCTAGGATTGATTCTTTCCTTATTAGATCTACTCTTTCTTTTTTGTTTTTTTTCTTGTGAGGAAGGTTCGCCCTGAGCTAACATCCATTGCCAATCCTTCTCTTTTTTGCTTGATGAAGATTAGCACTGAGCTAACATCCATGCCAATCTTCCTCTACTTTGTATGTGGGACACCTCCATAGCATGGCTGATGAGTGGAGTAGGTCTGCACCCGGGATCCGAACCTACAAACCCTGGGCTGCCAAAGTGGAGGGTGCAGAACTTTAACCACTCTGCCACAGAGCCGGCCCCTACTCTTTCCTTTTTAACTCCATTTTAATCAATTTTTAATTTAATTCTTGGATAGCAATTTTATTTCCTTCATTGCAAAGTCCTACAGTAAGTCTACAAATGCCGATAACCTACTTTTTCATTGTATTTCATACATCTATATGCTGCATCTCCTATAGGATAACAAGCTCAGTAAGTGGTGGTGGTGGATTATATTCTACTTTCGTGTTCTCCACAGCATGTAACCTAGGCAAAGCCCATAAAGGATATTTAAATAAATAAGTGTTGCCTTGAACTTAACTGATATGGAGAAATGCTACCCAGGGAAAGGAAAGCAGAAGAATGTTTGACTTTCAAGCTTCCTAAATGTCAACTAAAGTACCTAAGACACAAGAATCCCTAGATGGTCTTGAGCCAAGCCAGGGGACCCAGCTGACCCAGACTGGACAGGGTTTCTGTTGACCCTGGAAGAATGCCAAGTAAATGAGACATTTAATGGAAGTAGTCAATGTCCTCCAAGATTACTAGAAAGCAGTATTATATAATGGAATGCTTGTCACTGGGAGTCAGTCGGCTCTGTCATTTTCTAGCTGTGTGTCTTTGGGCTCATGATTAAAAGCCTTTCTAGATCACCATTTTCTCCATTTGTAAAAATGAGGGGAACAATAATCCTGACCTGCCTAGCTCAAAGAGTGGTGGTGAAGAAAAAATGTCGGTGATAATCCCTGGTAAACTAAAGATATAAGGCCTTAATCAGGGATCATCATTCGCTAAGGACAGAAGCCCACTCAAATTAGCTCAGGAAAAATGCGGTTCACTGGATAGATTAGTGGAATTTAGACATAAGCACATCTTGGGGGCCTGGACCCAGGAATCAGAAAGTGAGGAACCCAAGTTACTTACTCCTTCTATTGAAACACATGGTTTGTCATCTTTCCTTCTTTTATTTCTAGTTCATTCTTTGTTATGGCAACTCACTTGCTTCACTTCAACATGCATCTCAAAAGCAATGGCTAGCCCAGCGCCAGATTTCGACATGGCGTGGACCAGATTTTTGCCTCTGATGATCAGCTGTGGCCAGGAGGCTGGTCACACGTACAAACTTGGCCACCTTTTCAGCAAAGGCAGAATTGAGGCTGGCATCCTAGACTGTCTTCTGTTAATTAATGCTTGTTGGTTTTATTAAACCTCATTGGTCTATGGAATTTAAGGCAGTCAAGGGTCAGACAGCCAGCACTTTCGGTCCCTAGGGCAAGTGTAGGGACACTGAGTGAGCCTAATGCAAGGGAGGCGTTTTCACCCTGCTGTCCTATCCTCTTGGGTTTGGGTTTCAAAGAGTCAGATATAGAGAAAACTGGCCATAGTTGAAGGAAGAGGAGGCCATATAATTTTACCACTGATATCTTCCTTCTGGTCATGGAAGACACAGTACTCATTCCAAGAGAGAAAGGTCGTCCAATTTGTCTTCTTCAATTTGACTCTTTCTTCCATAGGTGTGACCTGGGTTGAGGTTTAATCTTGCTAAAACAAGAAAAATACGGACACGATATGGGATTTTGCAATGACTCACAGCAAAGTAATACAACCAATACCAGGGGGAAGTTTATTTATTAATTATATTTTATTTATTCTCTACCTACTTCCAAAAAGGATCTGAGGCAGTTTATAAAGGCCAAAAGTATAAACACAGTAAGATACAAAAGTCAAATAGTAAAATGGGGAGAAATGGAAGAAGTTATATTTTAAATTTCTGACTGATAATTTATTAATAACAATTTACAGAAAAAATAAAGTTAAGTTTCTGCCTTACCCTATACATCAAAATAAATTTCAGATGTAACCAAGCATTAAACATAATTGCTCAACTATAAAGAACTAAAAAAATACACTTAAGTTTTTATCTGTTTTTAGGGCAGGGTGGGAAAAGCATTTCTAATCTCATTAATAAAGAAAGAAACTTTAAAAGGAAGTAATAGAGCTGACTACATAAAAATTTAGAACTTCTTGACTTCACAAAGCACCAAAACCAAAATTAAATGGGGAAAATATTTTAAATACGAATGACGAGGAGCTGATAGCTTCACTATGAAGTTTAATAGTTTTATCTGTTAAAAATAATAAAAAGACATTCCAATAAATGAAGGATAGAAAACAAGAAATTTTTGAAGAATTAATATAAAAAGCAAATATTCATGAAAATATGTTAAACCGAAATAATAAAAAGGAGATGTAAATTAAAACAATAAAATTTTATTTAACACTTATGATTGGAAAATTTTAGAAAATTATAATCCACACACTGAGGAAAGGGAATTTATACAGGCTGATGATAATAATAACATCTTTCTGAGGGCCACTTGGCAATATTTTGAAAAGCCCATGAAACACACTTACCCTTTTCCTCAGCAATTTGTCCTTGGGAAATAGTCAAGGAAATGAGTAAAGATTTAGCTACAAAGATCTTTGTTATTTATTCTTTTTTTGAATACAAGCAATTTCCCAACGTTTTATAATGAACATTTATTAGCTTTGTAATAAGAAAAATATAAAATAATAGATTGTCTTTTCTGTATCTATTTTCTTTAATTGGGAAGTTTGTATACCACAAGTCGATTTTGAAGGGTAAAGTGGCACTTTTTGTCACTCAGCATCTTGCTTTGGAAATATCTAATGGGAGGGACCAGTAATTTAGTAAAAAGACCCCTGAGTCATCAGGACTCGTACAAACACTTTTTACTGTTATTATGGGAGCTCCCTAGGGTGTTTACTTGTAATTTGTTTGCTTTTGCTGTAGACAGAATTTGAACAAGCTGCATTTTCTGCTTCCCATCCTACAGCCAGTCGAAGGCAGGCACTTCGTACCAGGGAAGAGGGATGGCTGGGGGCCCGGCAACAAGAGGGAAAGCAGATAAATTCAACAACAACAACGAAAAAAACAGACACAAAGAAACAAGCCCAAGTTCTCACAAAGCACAGCAGTTTGCGGCCGGTTAACCTAGGAGCAAATAATCTTTCATGCTGAAATGGCTCTTGAAGGCGTGGATGATAATTAATATTCCCTATGAAAACCTTGAGTTGCCTGGAAAAATTAAAAGCCTTCCATTTCTCTCGTTTCAAAAAGGAGACTGTGTAATGCATTTGAAAATTTATATCCAAGATGGTTAAAAGAGAGCAAAATTTGGCATCTGAATATAGTAAGCTTTAATAATCTGGCAGCAAATACCTGGGTGGAGGAGTGAGCAGAATAAATAAGGAGATCCCCTGTATACATGATTATTGCTGAGGTCCCAGTAGAATTCCACCGCTGTAGATTCAGTTTGGAATTTTTAAAAAAAGTGAAGGAACGAGGTGACTCATGGGGGAGAGGCAGGTGGGACTCTGGTAAACTTGCTCAGCTGCCATTGGCCCGTCTCACTGGTTCATGTGTGTGTGGCCCTTGCTCTCCCCCTCCAGGACTGCCCTCCGGATGCAGAGGACTTCAGAGCCCAGCAGTGCTCCGCGTACAATGACGTCCAGTATCAGGGGCGCTATTACGAATGGCTTCCACAGTATAATGATCCTGCTGCCCCCTGCGCGCTCAAGTGTCATGCCCGGGGTCAGAACTTGGTGGTGGAGCTGGCTCCCAAGGTACTGGATGGAACTCGTTGCAATGCTGACTCCCTGGACATGTGTATCAGTGGCATTTGTCAGGTAAGTCACACCTGCGTCCCATGGCCCCAGTTTGAGGATGTGCCCTGCCTACACCCTCGAAAGAGAATCTTTTTCTTCTGTACTTTTGTTCACACAGAGGAAATATTACTATTGTTAATTTTAATGTAAAAAAATATTTTAGAGTATTACTCACTTTTAAATATTATGTTTTATTTATTTAAAACAGTGCGCATTTTCCCCATTTAGAATCTAAAGATTGCAATATATGACCCCTTGTGAGTCCTCTAGGTCAGTGGTTCTCCAACTTGAAAGTCCCTCAGAATCACCTGAAGGACTTGTTAAATAGCCTGCTAGCCCCCAACCCCAGAGTTTCTGATCCAGTAGGTCTGGGGTGGGGCCCAAGAATTTGCATGTCTAACAAATGAACACAGTAAGATGCTGATGCTGCTGGTCCGGGGGACCCCCTGCTTTGCAAGGGTTATATTGGTAGGTTCCCGGAGCCCTCTTATTAAAATTAACTCATTATTTTGGGTCTTTGGGAGCAATGACTTATATACTGAAAAATTAGCAAGGATGCGTTCCAGCAGATTTTTCAGAGTGGATTTTGCAGAGCTATGACTGAGGCATCACCCCTCATGGCTTGTAGAGGTGTGAGAATTCAGAGTACAGGTTGCTGAGACAGTGTGGGGAGGGCAGGAAAGGCTAGGATTCCACCCCCATTCTTTTGATTTCTGGAGAAAATTTAAATAATAATGAGTGTCTAGTATGCCATCTATCCTATTATTTTCATAACAAAAGCAGTAGTAGCAACAGCAAATGAGCAGCCTGACCACTTACTAAGTGTCAAACACTACCACGCATCTCAGACTTCACATGCTCAAAGACGAAGCTTGATCCTGCTCCCCAAACTAGTTTCTCCTCCCTTCATCCCTTCATCTAGAGAATGGCATCTGGTTGCTCAACACAAAAGTTTGCGGCCATTCTTGATTCTTCTCTTTCAACCCACACATCGAATCCATCGCCAACTCCTGCCAATTCTACTTCCAAAGCTTGTTTTGAATCCACCATTTCTTTCTACCTCCACTGACTTCTTTCTTACTCTAAGTTTTGCTTCTAAGTTTTGGCAATTATGAATAAAGCTGCTGTAAACAGCCAAGTGCAAGTTTTTATGTGGACACAAGTTTTCAACACATTTGAGTAAATACCAAGGAGAGCAATTGTTCAATTGTTGTATCATGGTAAGAGTATGTTTAGTTTTGTAAGAAAGTGCCAAATGGTCTTCCACAGTGACTGCCATTTTCTGCTCCTACCAGCAATAAATGAGAGTCCATATCACTCCCAGCATTTGGTGTTTTCATTGTTCTAGACTTTGGCCATTCTAATAGGTGTGTAGTGGTATCTCATTGTTGTTTTAATTTGCAATTCCCTAATGGCATATGATGTCGAGCATCCTTTCATATGCTTATTTGCCATCTAAATATCTTTTTTGATGAGGTCTGTTCAGGTGTCTTGCCCGTTTTTTAATTGGGTTGTTCATTTTCTTATTAAGAGTTCTTTGTTTGTTTTGGATAATAGTCCGTTATCAGATGCATCTTTTGCAAATATTTTTTCCCAGTGTGACTTGTCTTCTCCTTCTCTTGACAGTGTCTTTTGCAGAGCAGAAGCTTTTAATTTTAGTGAAGTCCAGCTTATCAGTTATTTCTTCCAGGGATCTAAAAAGTCATCACCATGCCCAAGGTCACCTAAGTTATCTTCTAGGAGTTTCATAGTTTTGTGTTTTACATGTAGGTCTATGATCCATTTTGAGTTCATTTTTGTGGAGGATGTAAGTCTGTGTCTAAATTCATTTCTTTTTTTTTTTAAAGTGGATGTGCTGTTGTTTCAGCACCATTTGTTGAAAGGACGATCTTTTCTCCATTGTATTGTCTTTGCTCCTTTGTCAAAGATCTCTTGACTTTTATTATTATGGGTTTGTTTCTGTGCTCTCTATTCTGTTCCATTGATCCATTTGTCTCTTCTTTTGCCAATACCATACTTGTCTTGATTACTTTACCTTTATAATAAGTCTTGAATTTGGGTAGCGGTAGTCCCCTGACGCTGTTCTCCTTCAGGATTGTGTTGACTACTCTGGGTCTTTTCCCTCTCTCTATGTAAACTTTAGGGTCAGTTTGTCAATATCCACAAGATAACTTCCTGGAATCAAGTTGAGAATAACGAACATCTTGACAATATGGAGTCTTCTTCTCCACAAACGTGGAATATCTCTCCATTTATTTAGTTCTTCTTTGATTTCTTTCATCAGAATTTTGTAGTTTTATTCATATAATTTTTGTACAAAATTTTTGTTAGATAGTTGCTTCTATCTTCATGAGAAATATTGGTCTGTATGTTTCTTGTAACATCTTTGTCTGGATTCGGCATTCAGGGTAGTGCTGGCCTCATAGAATGAGTTAAGAAGTATTCTCTCTTTTTCTATCTTCTGGAAGAGATTGCAGAACACTGGTATAATTCCTTCCTTAAATGTTTGGTGGAATTCACCAATGAACCGATCTGGGCCTGGCACTTTCTGTTTTGGAAGGTTGTTAATTATTGATCAATTCCTTTAATAGATATAGGTCTACTCAGATCATCTATTTCTTCTTGTGTGAGTTTTGGCAGATTGTGTCTTTCAAGGAATTGGTCCATTTCATCTAGGTTATCTTGGGTGATACGTATGCATGGAGTTACTCGTAATATTCCTTTAATATTACGGACACCTTTCAGTGTCCGTGGGATCTGTAGTGATGTTCTCTCTTTCATTTTTGATATTGGTAATTTAACAATTTGTATCTTCTATGTTTTTCTTAGCCTGGTTAGAAACATTGATTTTACTGACTTTTCAAAAATTAGCTTTTGATTTTGTTGATTTTCTTGATTGATTTTCTATTTTCAATTTCATTGATTTCTGCTCTAATTTTTCTTATTTCTTTTCTTCTGCTTACTTTGGATTTAATTTGCTCTTTTACTTCTAGTTTCCTAAGGTGGAAGCTTAGATTATTGGTTGTAGATCCTTCGTCTGTTCTTATATATGCATTCAATGCTTCAATTTCCCTTTAAGCACTGCTTTCACTGCATCTTACATATTTTGATAAATTGTATTTTACTTTTCATCAAAATATTTTTGAATTTCTTTTGAGACATCTTCTTTGACTCATGTGTTATTTAGAAGTATGTTGTTTAATATCCAAGTATTTTGAAAATTTCCAGCTATGGTTCTGCTAATGATTTCTAGTTTAATTCCACTGTGGTCTGGGAGCAGACAGTATATTATTCTTATTCTTTTAGATTTTTTAAGGTGTGTTTTATGGCCTAGCATGTGATCTATCTTGGTGAATGTTCCATGTGACCTTGAGAAGAATGTGCCTTCTGCTGTTCTTGGATGAAGTTAGGAGATATCAATTATATTCAGTTGATTGATGATACTGTTGAATTCAACTATGTTCCTACTGATTTTCTACCTGCTGGATCTGTCTGTTTCTGAGAGAGAGGTGTTGAAGTCTCCAACTATAATAATGGATTTCTTTACTTTTCCTTGCAATTCTATCAGTTTTTGCCGCACATATTTTGACATTCTATTGTTAGGCACAGACACATTAAGGATTGTTATGTCTTCTTGTAGTACTGACCCTTTATCATTACATAAATGCCCCTCTTAAGTCTGATAAATTCTCTTGCTCTAAAGTCTGGTCTGTCTGAAACTAATATACCTACTCCTACTTTATCTTGATTAATGTTAGTATGCTATATCCTTCTCTATCCTTTTACTTTTAACCTACATGTGTCTTTATATTTAAAGTGCGTTTTTTGTAGACAACAGATAGTTGGATTTTATTTTTTTTATCTACTCTGACAATCTCTATCTTTTAATTGGTATTTTAATTGGTATATTTAGACCAGTGATGTTTAAAGTGATTATTGATATAGTTGGATTAATATCTATCATATTTGTTATTGTTTTCTATTCATTACTCTTGTTCTGTATCCCTATATTTGTTCACTCTTTTTCTGCTTTTTAATTAAACTTTTTATATGATTCCACATTTTCTCTCCTACTTAGTATATCAGTTATACTTCTCTTTTTCTTCTTTTGCTTTCTTAAGTAATTGCCCTATAGTTTGCAATATACATTTACAACCAATCCAAGTTCACTTTCAAATAACACTATTACTGCTTCATGGGTATAGTGAAAATTCCCATGACAAAGTAATAGTAAAGAATATTAATTCCTCCCTGCATCCCTGTTATCATTTCAATCATTCATTTCACTTATATATAAGCGTACATGTATGTATGTGTATACACATATATATATGTCAGCATACATAGTTGAAGACATTGTTGCTATTATTTTCAATAAATGATTGTTTTAGATAGACTGGTAATGAGAAAAATAAAAGTTTTTATTTTACCTTCATTTATTCCTTCTTCAGTACTCTTCCTTTCTTTATGTAGATCTGAATTTCTGTCCTATATCATTTTCCTACTCCCTGAAGAACTTGGTCTAACGGCGACAAATTCCCTCAATTTTTGTTTGCCTGAGAAAGTCTTTATTTCCCTCTCACTTCTGAAGGATGACTTCACAGGGTACAGAAGTCTGGGTTGTTTCTTTCTCTCAACACTTTAAATATTTCCCTCTACTCTTTTCTTGTTTGCATGTTTTCTAAGGAGAAGTCAGATGTAATTCTTATCTTTGCTCCTCTATACATAAGGTGTTTTATTCCTCTGGCTTCTTTCAAGATTCTTTTTCTTTATCTTTGATTTTCTGCAGTTTGAATATGATATGCCTAAGTGTAGTTTTTTTGACATTTATCTTGCTTGGTGTTCCAAGCTTGAGCTTCCTGGACCTATGGTTTTGTGTCTGATATTAATATGGGGGAAAAGCTCCATCATTATTGCTTCAAAGATTTCTTCTGTTCCTTTCTCTCTTTCTGGTATTCCCATTACGCCTATGTCACACCTTTTGTAGTTGTCCCACAGTTCCTGGATGTACTGTGTTGGGT